GGGGGGTGATGAGAGGGGAGGGAAAAAAAGAAAGAACGAGAGCGTAGGGGTAGGGCGCAAAAGAAAGGAAGATCATAGGGAGAGACACTGCACAGACTCACTGGAGCAGAATAACACACATCCCCAGATTTATAACAGATTCCGAACAAGTTGTATTACAAGGATTTTTATAGAAACTGCTGAATTAATCAGAGACATTTGTTCTGCAAATTTTTAAAACAAATTTTCATCCAGCACGAAGTCCTGCTTCAACCTCCCTGTCAATGTGATAATAACAAACACTGATTTTTTCACGTGCATCGTAAAACTATTTTGGAATCAGAGTGGCAAATTGCAGTAATAACCTATAAGTATAAGTAATCGAATCAATTGCAAAGAAAAACAAAAAATGAAAATTGTGGGACGAAAACGGCCTCTCTCAAATTCTTATCAAATGACATTGACACGGAAATTAACCCATATTTTACAGTCATCATCTTTATTTTTCTTAGTTGCTTCCCTTCAAAGGAATGTAAAGTGTTTTATGAAAGGCTGATGTTAGTTGTTAGGGGACCGTACGCCCCAATAGCGCTTGGCGCTAGGGGACCGTACGCCCCCGTAGTGTTTGGCGCTAGGGGACCGTACGTCCTACCTGCGTTAGCCTACGCGTCCACCAAAATAAGATCACCTCCAGGCCAGGCTAATGTACGAAGTTTTTTCATGGTGTAGAAGCGACTCAAAAAGATCCGCGTCCACCGGCGTCAGACCAGCTAAACCTATTTTAGCCTAGTGTGTTATGATTACGAGAACAACAGACAGCACAGGCGATTTATTTATTTATTTACCACTTTAAAAAACTGAAAAGCAACAAATTATAATTATGGGAAAAATTGTTGGTAAGTTGGGACGATGAGAAGAAGAAGAAAAAAAAAAAAGGTGGGACTGGGATTCGAACCCACGCTCACAAAAATAATGTTTGCCCTTAAACGCAGACACACTGTTCACTAGGCCATCGGAACTTTCATAAGAGGAGGGTAAATTAAGCTTCATATACAGTACTGTTTCAGGAAACGCAAAGCGACATGATATATTGAGATGTAGATCTAGAATCTAGGCCTAGATCTAGTGGACCGGCAGATAAGGTCTGGAGAAAACTAAAATTTGGCGGAAAATTGGAGGCACTAAAGATTAGAGAACGTAGATCTAAGATCTAGACACGTCCCTAGCTAGGTCTAACCTGGCCTATTTTTAGCTCCCCCGAGAACGAAATAATCTAGATCTAGATCTAGATTCTAGATCTAGGTCAAGTGCTTTAATTTCATTTTTTTTGTGCTGTTTTTCCGCACAAATTTGCTATTGTACAACATATTATAATGAGATACAACGTTATTGATCATGTAAAGTACAATGAAGAAGTAAAAATGTACTTAAAGATGCAAATTTCCTTCCAAAATGAGTCGAATC